ACTATTTGAAAATTAGGCTCTGGACCGATTTGCTGACCCCTGCTTTACATGTTAGCTACTTTGATGTTGGGCTTTCTTTGTGACTTCAGCATTAGCTGTCCTAATTTGATTAATACTCCTATCCCAACTGGGTAGTCAATAGCATGTACCTTTGATATCATTCTAAAAACTTCACACAAAACATTATCAACATATAGCTTAGAATAAACGTAAAGAATTAGAGCTTAATATTTTTTGGGGGGCGTTCAAAATACCCCTGCTTCAGCACAATTTTGTATTTTTACATTTCCAAATTCTTCATCTCTGGTTCTCTCCTCGAGCACTAATATCTTGATGATGAACCGTCTGATGCCCAGCTGAGCATAGTGAGGACTTAAAGCCAGCAAAAGGGATCATAGAAAATTCAATAAGAAGTACAAATACTATCTCGATTTAGGCCAGCCTGATTTCTTGTGTCTGCCGAATCAATCATTTGCAGGGCTGCCAACAGACCTCCTAGGGTGCTGAACTGGAAGGCAGAAGTAGTAAATATTAACTAGCTTTGTGACTTTGGGCAAATAATTCACATGGTCAGGCTTGTGTTTCCCAATTTTACCTTCTAGCACTTAAAGGTTCTGTTAGAGGTCTGTGCCTAATTATCCACCAAGTAATTACCTCCCTGGCATGCTCACTCTTTTTATTTGATTATATCGCCCTCTTGTGGATGTATCCTGTATCTGCACTGTGATTTCTTTCCTCTCGCACAGCCACTTGCTCAGGCCAGGCTCCTCTCTCTGCATTATCATGTCATGAACTGCAGTATTTTGTTCATGAACAATGAGGCCCAAGTGTAGAGGGGAAATTAAAAAGTCCCTTCACTTCTGTTAATTCAATTAAAATAAAAAAGCCAAACTATCCCACTGAATTATAGTTACAAAGGACCTTAGACAGCATGCCCCAGATTTCAAATACCACATGCGGTTTTCAAATATATAGTTACATTGTGAGAATATAAAAACACAGGCAGGAACTACATAAGCCAATTTCAGGATGGAGGTTGCTTCTGCGGAGAGAGGGAGGTAAACTGGGAAGGGGGACTTTGTATCTATAAAGTTTTATCTATTAAAAAGAAGGATCTGAGGACAATATGGTAAAATATTTTTTAACAACTGGACTTGGTGGGGTAGATATCACAACATGATTTTATGTGTTCACACCACTTTTTTTTTTTTTTACATGTGCATCTGGAAATCTCTCTTCCCTACTCCTGGATGGTATTTTGGGCAGATTCCAGAGCTTTTGTGGTCAGTTTTAGGTATTAATTCATAGTCTGTGTTAAAAGTTTTTATTTTATTTATTTATTTGTGTGTGTGTGTGTTAAAAGTTTTTAAAAAGCCCCAGTCTAAACAGAAGCTTTAGTCTCTCATTCAAGCATCCTTCGCTGTGCTTGGTGCCTGGACTTACAGGTTCAACCTCTTCTTTTCCTTACTCTGTGCTATCCCTTGATCACAGGGACAGCAGAGAGCGACACACACACACACACACACACACACAGGAAGCAGTGGCGGGAAGGAGAGGTCAGGGCAGAAGGATCTGACTTGACTGGCTCAGTTTGCAGTTTGGGTTGGTACCCTCTGGTTATGGCAGACGCCCATATGATATGGGGCACATCTGGGGCTATTTGGAGACTTCTCCATGAGAGAACTACCCACCATATCTTTGTCTGGCACCATTATGCTTCTGATGGTGCACCCCATACGGAGCCTTGCTGTTGGGGTCACCTCGCCCAGGCAAGTAGACCTCCTGGATGGGGCTGTGTCCAGATGCCACAAGGTTTGCTGTCTTCCACGAGACCCCTCCTGACTATAGGAGACATATTTCCTTCTTGTCAGCTCCCAATGCTCTCATGGAGGTTTCCTCTCCTCCCTTGGCCAGGGATACCTGATGCCTTTACCAGTCTCTTGCCTTTGCCAGTCTCTATGTCCTCTGGAGTTCAGGAGCTCACGGCAAGCTTTCTGTGGAAGCGGAAACTGCTCACTTTGGAGTGAGCAAGTCGCGCGGGCGGGACTAGCACCCATGGAGGGAGGAGGAAGCTCAGACCTTTGACCACTCTTTCCAAGGGGATCCTCTCTGCCAATCTTAAAGACTCTTTGCCTTCTCTTTTATAGCCTGTCTGCACCCCTGGAAAAACCTAACTCCAAATGGCAGATCTTTGTCTAGAATCTTGTATCTGTAATTGCCAGCCATAGGTATGGGTATCTTTGCTCCTCAGGGCTGGTTTTACCCCTGGGTCTCATTTTTTGTCTGGGTCTTTTTTGATGAACCTCATTCAAAGGTCTATCAATACATTTGTGAAGCTTGGGTTTTTAAGTACATGACAGTTATTATATTACTTTATTTTCACTTATAGAAATATGCCTTAATATAATTTAAACAGTTATTCTAATCTACACATTGTACTCTACAAGTGAGGAGACTAAAATCTAGATAAAGTCATCTGCCCCAAATCACACATCCAGAGTCAGAACCCACAGACCCAGATTCCCAGCCTTTATGACCTTGAAATCTATTATGCCGTTTACCCAAAGCACAGAAAGTGTAGTGCTCAGTGTCTTTGGGATTTATGTGAGTGTGAGATTAAAAATATTCTTAGCTTAGGGACACCTGGCTGGCTCAATCGGATAAGCGGTGGACTCTTGATTTCAGCTGAGGTTAGGATTTCAGGGTCCTGGGATCAAGCCCCACATCGGGCTCCACCCTCAGACTAGAGTCTGCTTCTCTCCCTCTGCCCCTCCCCATGCTCTCTGTCTCTTTCTCTCTCTCAAATAAATAAATAAATCTTAAAAAAATATTCTTAGCTTAGTTAATAACAAGGGGTTTAATTATCAAAGTATTTTTCAGAGGGCATCAAGTTAGAGGTAATATTCTGAAATTTGGGAGTATCTGGGATCTTAATCATGTTGTAAGGAATAACAAATACAAATAGATCCAGGTTTTGAGTCCACACACACAATGACTTGTTGAAACTGAAGACATATTGTTCCAATTAGCTAATGATTTTGGTAATTAACAGTTAAGCCTATTCTCATTTTATAAAAAGTAGACATGTGCAAGTCATGGTCCAATGCCGAGCTCATTAACAACTTTATTATGTCATTGAAAATTTAAACAACCATCTTCTGTCTTCCTGGGATTGTTTTCACAAGTGTCTCCATCCATCTATCCAACAAACATTTATTTAGAGCCTAGAATGTCTATCTCCCTTCTGTCTCCAGCCCTGACAATCTTTTATTTATTTATTTATTTTAGATTTTTTTTTCAATTTATTTATTCATTTAAGACACAGAGATACAGAGAGAGAGAGAGAGAGCATGAGCAGGGGGAGAGGCAGAGGGAGAGGGAGAAGCAGGCTCCCTGCTGAACCAGAAGCCCGATGCGGGGCTTGATCCCAGGACCCTGGGATCATGACCTGAGCCGAAGGCAGATGCTTAACCATCTGAGCCACCCAGGCACCCCTCCCTGACAATCTTTTTTTGTGAAACACATCCCACCCAAGGATCAGCTTGCTTGATCAAACTAACTACCAATGATAAATTTGTCTCTGCTGTTACTCTGCCAGAAGGGGACTTCAAGTTGCTGAGGCTTGTTTTAGGGTCAGTGATGAGGATGGATCTAAATTGTGAGGCTAGTTGAGAACAGTCTTTGGAAATTTAGAGGTGCACCCAAGTGTAATGGAATTTTATTAAGTATTGGGGTGTTCTGGTCATCTTTCACTCCTGCCGCACTTCTGTTGCTCTGTTCTTACTATTTGGTTTCACTGATTTCTTTTTTGATGCACAATTTGTGTCTTCTTGCCTGGCAGTGAAGAGGTGAGTGTGGCAAGCGGGCCGGGGGTTTATGGTGTGTGTGCGAGTATGTATTGCATATGTGGGCAAGATGCCCAGAGTTCCAACTTTTAAGTAAGGTACATAGGGAAAGCTCTTTTTCCTTTAGTGAATCTTTAAAGAGGTAGAAGTTCAGAATGATGCTTCAGAGCACATCCACATTTGCAAACACCATTTTTAGGATTTTAAAGTTAAGAAGGTCGTTGTGTGATTTGAAGTATATTCTGCAATTTAATTATATTTAAGATGAATAATATTCTTGTACTTAGGAGAACAACTGCTTCCTTCAGTTCACTGATGAAGAGAAAATAAATACTTAGAAATTTCCAATCCCTTGTTAAGAGTTTGTCAAAATGTGGAATGTGTGCACATTATAAATGCAGGAGTAGAGGCTATAGAAAGAGGGTGGGTTGGGAGGGAAAGCACAGTTGGCTGCTTAGGGCAGCCCATGCAAACCACTGCTTTGTGGGGAGGTCACCAGGGGACAAGGGCAGGTCCTTAGCTTTGTTCCTCATAAGTGCGGTTCTGTGAGTGTTGAGCACCAAACTGTGTGTGTGTGTGTGTGTGTGTGTGTGTACAATGTTAATTCTAGGAACATCCCATAGAACTAGTTTTCTGTGAAAATCAGTTTGAGAAAATTCTGGGTTAGGTAACTAGTAACAGTTGATCGTAATCAAAGCATTTGCTTTCTGGGATGGTACCAAAAATTCCATGAGTTTTTCAGAATCCCCCTCCTCTGGTCTTTTTCAACATCCTGTTAACATAAATTTAAATGATATAAATAATTGATATTATGCAGCTTACGTTGTGGTTTCCTTGTTGAGATTTTAGAAGATATTCCTTTCCTTACATGAGATGTGGGATGTATCTCATTCTTGATGGTAATAATGGAGGACTCCTGTACACAACTCATCTCATTTTTATATTCACATTTACTGGCTTCCCATTTGGAGGGTATGGTGGGTTAAATCATGTCTTTCAAAAATTCACGTCCACCTGGAACCTCGGGATGAGACCTTATTTGGAAATAGGGTCTTGACAGATGAAATTAGTTAAGGATCTTGAGATGAAATCATCCAGGACTTAATCCACTAAATCCACTTAATCTACTAAATCCAATAATTGGTGTCTTTATAGAAGAAAGAAGAGGGAGATTTAGACAGAGGACAGACACAGAGAAGACCGCCATGTGAAGACAAGGGGAGAGAATGGAGTGATACAGCTATAAGCCAAAGAGCACTGAGGATTGCTGGGGCCCCCAGAAGCTGGAAGAGACAAGGAAGGATCTTCCTTAAAGCCTTGAGAGGGAGGGTGGTCCTGCTGATACTTGGACTTCAGACTTCTAGCCTCTAAAATTGTGAGTAAATTTTACATTTTTGTCATTTAAGCCACCAAGTTTGTTGTAATTTGTTGGAACAGCCCTAGGAAACTAATGGGGAGGATGACAATTCTTGGTATTTCTTCCCAAATTATTCTTTAGTTTGCAATTTACTGGCTACATTCAGTACAGGGGATCTTCTATTGAACAAACTACATTCCCAGCATTGTTTGGCCCATGTTTTCCAACAGATTACTAATGAAATTACAGTGACTATATTCTTAAGATAGTATTTATTCACTTATTTATTCATTTAAAATGCATACACACATATAGTATTCCTGAAGTTTGTGAGTCAAGACATACTTTCATAAGGGCATATTTAACTGACAACATAGCACAACTCACAGTAGGAGCCCAAGTGCTGGATTCAAGTTCTTTGGTGCAGGACAGAGGAAAAGAAAAGAAGATCCTTCTCCTTTTTGAGACACAGAACAAACTAGGCCTAATGATGATGATGATGATTTTTTGAAATAGGTGAAATTTGTTCAACCTCTTCCTCCCTCTTGTCCTCTCCTTAGTCTTCCTGGCACATAGTTTCCTCATTTACCTTAACCCTTTCCCTAACCCTGTCCCACTCCAAAAAGGACCACATGCTCTAAAATTATTACTAGCAACCCTCCCCCCCAGCCCTCCAACAAAATTCACCCCCTGTGCACTCTATGTTTTGTAGGATTTGGTTAATCAGATTACTTTGAATTTATATTAATGGACGAATGCTTGACTTTCTTACAACCCAGGAACATTAGCATTTTAAGAGAACACTTATGTATTTGTTACCCGCCTTCCTTCTAGCCACTGAAAGTTTGGAATCCTTTTTAAAGCTTCATCTTTAAAAACAAAGTAGTTTCATCAGGACCCTGCACGATGCTTGATGTGTATGGGTGGGTCTTTGGGGAGCCAGAGTTGCAATATTCATGGGACTAGAGAAGAGGGCTATCAGTCAGTGGCCTGAGGGCCTCATCTGGGACACCCAAAGTAAAGGGGATTAGGATCTAGTTTAAGTAATTGAGGCAAGTGGAAGAGAGTGGGTACTGGGTCCAACTGAATTTACTATGCATCTCATGGTCAGAGAGTTGATCTGATACTGGGCACTCAGCATGAAGGTATCAAGAGAGAAGTTGAACCAGTCACTCATTGTCAGCTGTATGAGGAGAAGAATAGAAAGGAATGATCTAATATATTTTTCACCTTTTTAAATGCAGACTTAGAGTGTTTTACTTGTTTTTGAGATCTGAAAAATTAGTGCCACCCATATCTATTTTTGAAAAGACTAGATTAATTTTGAATTAATTTCTGAGTAGGAGCTCAGAGGAAGAAAAGACTAATTCTGTTGGTGCTGGGAAATGGGGAAGGTTTTCATAGAGATGCTGAGATTTTAAAAGTTTTTCTTATTTTTAATTTTCCAATCTTTAAATTTAAAAAATTGTGGTAAGACACACATTACTTAAAGTTTACCACTTTAACCATTTTTTAAATGGCACTAAGTTCATTCACATTTGCCTGCTACCATCACTACCATCCATCCACAGAGCTCTTTTCACCTTGCCAAACTGAAACTCTACCATTAAACAATATCTCCCCATTCTCTCCTTCCCCCAGCTCCTGGCTACCACCACTGCACTTTCTGTGTCTATGATACTGATGACTCTAGGTACCTCATGTGAGTGGAATTATATAGTATTTGTCTTTTAGTGACTGGCTCATTTCAGTGCGCATCACGTCCTCAAGGCTTATCCATGTTGTAGCATGTGTCAGAATGTCCTTCCTTCCTAAGGCTGAATGATATTCCATTGTACACACATACCACATTTTCTTCGTGTATTTGTTTGTTGATGGACACTTGGGTTGCCTCTAGCTTTTGTTTTTTCGTGAATAATACCACAATTGACACTGGTGTGCATATGTCTCTTTGAGTCCCTTCTTTCAGTTCTTTTAGTTATATACCTAGAAGTGGAATTGCTAGATCTGATGCTTGTGTTTGAGGGAATAAGAAGTCCCTAAGCAGACCAGTTGGGAAGGGTATGCCAGGCAGAGAGAAGAGTGGTGCCAGGCCTGGGGAAATGAGGGGGTACTAAGCCTGGGGAGCAGCAGACGGTGTGCTGTGGCTGGAAGACTAAGTGGTGAAGAAGGTTTGGAGACAGCTGGGGCCAGAGGGTGGAGAGAGGGCCTTACACGCCCGCTTGGGGTCTTGGCTTTGACTCTACAGCTATTGGGGGATGGTCTTAATGACAGTGTCACCCTGTCAGCTGAACATATGCTCGGGAAGGTCCACAGAGAGCCCTTCCAAAAGAGTTTAAATGATTTTTCCTTAATCAGTCCATTTCAAATAATTTAAAAAGTGTCTCGTATGTTGTTGACACTCAATAAATTCCTTAATAATGGTAATTTTATTAGAAGAAAATAGAGGAGAAAATTCCTATGATCTCCAAACCCCGAGTTTCTTTAATGCGCCACAGACTTCCTGCATCCTTTTCCAATTAAATAAAATGCAATATCAGGCAGCTGTTGTCACAAATGGCCAAATTACTTTTCTTAAGTGGCCACTTTGATACCCTTTTCTGCTGCCAGACAGAACTTTCATAGTGTTAAGTACACTCAAACAGAAGAAGAAAGTAAATACAAATTTCCAATAGCTGTTAACTTCGGACATCTAGCATGTAACAGTCCCATGCCAGGTCTGCCCAGAGGATTTTGGGACTCGTATCAGAGAAAAAGTTACTAAAATCCTTATAAAGGCAAAAATGTGCCATGGAAATCTAAATGTGACGGTACTTTATTAAGAACCAAATAATTGGCTGACCGCCGCCGACTGCTTCGCCGACTGCTTCGCCAGCGACCAGCGCGCATGGCGGATGGCCCTCCTGTTGCAGGTCTTTTCTGATTTGTTAAGAGTATATTTTCTGGGGACGTAGTTACTCTGCTAGCATTTTGTTCTCTCATTAATCTATTCTCCTCTGCACAAAATGACGAGACGGAAAAAATCACCTCAACAAAAAGAACAAGAGGCAGTACCGACTGCCAGGGACCTACTCAATACGGACATTAGTACGATGTCAGATCTAGAGTTCAGAATCATCACTTTAAAGATACTAGCTGGGCTTGAAAAAAATATGGAAGTTATTAGAGAAACTCTTTCTGGAGAAGTAAAAGAGCTAAAATCCAACCAAGTAGAAATCAAAAAGGCTATTAATGAGGTGCAATCAAAAATGGGGGCACTAACTGCTAGAATAAATGAGGCAGAAGAGAGAATCAGTAATATAGAAGATGAAATGCTGGAAAATAAAGAAGCTGAGAAAAAGAGAGATAAACAACTACTGGATCATGAGGGCAGAATTCGAGAGATAAGTGATACCATAAGACGAAACAACATTAGAATAATTGGGATCCCAGAAGAAGAAGAAAGAGAGAGGGGGGCAGAAGGTATAATGGAGCAAATTATAGCAGAGAACTTCCCTAATTTGGGGAAAGAAACAGGCATGAAAATCCAGGAAGCACAGAGAACCCCTCTCAAAATCAATAAAAATAGGTCAACTCCCCGACATCTAATAGTAAAACTTACAAGTCTCACAGACAAAGAGAAAATCCTGAAAGCAGCTCGGGAGAAGAGATATGTAACCTACAATGGTAGAAACATTAGATTGGCAACAGACCTATCCACAGAGACCTGGCAGGCCAGAAAGGACTGGCAGGATATATTCAGAGCACTAAATGAGAAAAATATGCAGCCAAGAATACTCTATCCAGCTAGGCTGTCATTGAAAATTGAAGGAGAGATAAAAAGTTTCCAGGACAAAAAAAAACTAAAGGAATTTGCAAACACAAAACCAGCCCTACAGGAAATCTTGAAAGGGGTCCTCTAAGCAAAGAGAGACCCTAAAAGCAACATAGACCAGAAAGGAACACAGACAATATATGGTAACAGTCACCTTACAGGCAATACAATGGCACTAAATTCCTATCTTTCAATAGTTACCTTGAATGTAAATGGGCTAAATGCCCCAATCAAAAGACACAGGCTAACAGACTGGATTAAAAAACAAGATCCATCGATATGCTGTCTGCAAGAGACTCATTTTAGACCCAAAGACACCCCCAGATTGAAAGTGAGGGGGTGGAAAACCATTTACCATGCTAATGGACACCAAAAGAAAGCTGGGGTGGCAATCCTTATATCAGACAAATTAGATTTTAAACCAAAGACTGTAATAAGAGATGAGGAAGGACACTATATCATACTTAAAGGATCTATCCAACAAGAAGATCTAACAATTGTAAATATCTATGCCCCTAACATGGGAGCAGCCAATTATATAAGGCAATTAATAACAAAAGCAAAGAAACACATCAACAACAATACAATAATAGTGGGGGACTTTAACATCCCCCTCACTGAAATGGACAGATCATCTAAGCAAAAGATCAACAAGGAAATAAAGACTTTAAATGACACACTGGACCAAATGGACTTCACAGACATATTCAGAACATTCCACCCCAAAGCAACGGAATACACATTCTTCTCTACTGCCCATGGAACATTCTCCAGAATCGACCACATCCTAGGTCATAAATCAGGTCTCAACCGGTACCAAAAGATTGGGATCATTCCCTGCCTATTTTCAGACCACAATGCTTTGAAACTAGAACTCAATCCCAAGAGGAAAGTCGGAAAGAACTCAAATACATGGAGGCTAAAGAGCATCCTACTGAAGAATGAATGGGTCAACCAGGAAATTAAAGAAGAATTAAAAAAATACATGGAAACTAATGAAAATGAAAACACAACTGTTCAAAATCTTTGGGATGCAGCAAAGGCAGTCCTAAGAGGAAAGTATATAGCAATACAAGCCTTTCTCAAGAAACAAGAAAGGTCTCAAGTACACAACCTAACCCTACACCTAAAGGAGCTGGAGAAAGAACAGCAAATAAAGCCTAAACCCAGCAGGAGAAGAGAAATCATAAAGATCAGAGCAGAA